TATAAGATATTACAATCATAATTACCAAAAAGCAGCTTAGAAAAAATATAAATAGAACTATACCAAACACAGGGCCAGAATTATCTAGAGATTCATCAACAAAATCACCAATTCATTTAAGCTTTCATTTCAAAATAAAGCAATATAATGATCTATCCTATAGTTATAAAAGACATAGAAAGACTCCAATTAGCTTCTTAATCTTATCAAATACCTAGAAACTAAGATTCTGTGCCTTTAAACTCCAGAACACCCACTGTACAATCCGATACACTCGAAGGCAAAACTGGTGTCGGGGTTTTACACTCTTTCATTGTTTTCTAAAGTCTATACTAAGAAGGATTAAACTATCTTTAAACTAAATCCTACATAGCCCTAATTTATAGTATAATATATAATACTATACTAAATACTTTTTATTAGAAATTCTAAATTAATATAAATTTAAATTTAATAGTTTAGAGTATTAATTATCTTTAAAAATACTAGATTTATATATTATTTAGAATTATTAACTATTAATATATTACTATATAACTTCTTTATAGACTATTTAGTTAATATCATTAAGAATAATAATATATTGGGATAATTAACGCTTAAAATCTTCTTTTATAGCTGTATATAATTCTTTATTAAGTTAATGGCTTCCATGCTACGGTCCTGTCATTTCTATATAGAGATAAGGTTGGCCATACTGGCCAGTATATCTGAATACTCTGTATTTAACATCTTTAAACTTGTTTCTATTACTTATATATTCAGCTCTTCAGCCTTTTTTTATTGGCTTTAATTCTAGTATATTAACATCAGGTTGACCATATTAACCAGCATGTCTAGATGCTCTGCACCCAGCATCTTCAAACTCGTCTCCATCACTTGCACATCTAGCTCTTCGGCCTCTTTCCATCGGCCTTGATCCCAGTACAAGAGAAACACATGACATCATCTTATTTGGCAGTCTTGCACTGTTTCAGTAAATATCAGAAATCTACTTATATTAAAGACTTAACCCAATATAATTTAGTGCACTGCGCTATTAAAGATTAAGATAGAATCTAAAAGGTTAGATATATACATTATATCTATATTAAGAATAATAAGAATTTATCATTATCCTCTTTTAATTATTTTTATTATATATATTTTAATTAATAGTATCTATACTATAGCTAATTTATATATTACTATTATAGTTATTTAAAAATATTATGCTATATATATTGCCACTACTCTAATCTAATAATTAAAAGTATAATTATGATGATATAATTCTAAAAATAGCTTGGTTAGTTTCTAAAAAGTATAATTACTTTTCAACTTCTCTCATTATAAGAGTTTATTGGATATTACCATCTTTTTTATCTTTTAACTTCTCTTAAAGTTCTTTCTTATATTTTAAAACTTTATTTTACTACTTTTTTAAAAAATCAATATATTTTTTAATAGTTTTTTTTAAATTTTATAATTAGCTTTTCAGCTTTTTATGATTTATTTTAGAGATAGATTTTAAACAAAGCTAAATAAATCTTTAAAGCATTAGTATAGATTATGAAAAGACTTTATAAGGATTCTTTATAGCTATATGCTTTTAATAGCAAACTAAATAATATTCTAATAGAATTAAATTTACACTCTAAATACACTAATTTTTTTTTATTCTATATATTGATAGAAAGACAATCTTTAAAAAAAAGCTTTATACTATTAGAATATTTTGTTTATTACTAAAGTTTCTTGCTAAAATCAGTATATATCTAATTATATGTATTTATTATATCTATAATATCAATTTTCTTAAGATCTGATTTAGCCTCAGTATAAGTTATGTTATTGGAAATTTAAAGTTTTTTAAGAGTGGTTAATGGACACTGAATAGTTTTCAAAATTAAAGTAATATCTTGAATTACTTTCTTTACTTCTATAAGATTATCAATTAAATTATAAAGATAATTAATATTAAAAATAATAAACTCAATAATACTAATAACACTAATAACAATACTGAATAGATCTATATATTCTAGATTTATATAATAAAATAAAGAGATATTTATATGCTTTCTATAAAATAGAAATACATTAAATTAACAGATATGAGTAGAAAACAGGTTAATCTATTATAAAAGTTATAAATATATAACATAGATATTAGGTACTTCTGTATTAAGATTAGCTAATAGTAGCTTGAAAGATACAAATAACTAGATTATCATATTTAATTATTTTACTTATCACTATATTTTGAAATATTATTAATAAAACTATAAATAGAATACTTATATCTATTTTATTTAAGAGGAAGATTATCTTCATTTAAGATACTGTTCTATTTAGTCTAAATTTAAGATAAAATATAATTTTAAAATGATTATAAGTTGTAATGGTTCATGCTGTGTATTATGTTATCTTCTTGGACTTAGATAATTGAGGAGTATAAGTTAGCTATAATGCTGGGAATGTTAAGATCCACTACTATTATTATCTCATAGGTAAGTCTCTATTGAGAGCCACTAGAGAGCTGTGCTGATAGTATTCTGATTGTGTAGAGTGTTTAGAGACTCCTCCCAGTCTATTACTATCGATCCTGTTCCTTTGCGATCCAGATTTTGTCGATTGTGGAACAGTCCTTAATCAGCTCCATTAAAGATGTGCTACGCTAGGGTCCAGGACTGCGCTTGTCGGCCTCGGTGGTGTTGGGTGTGTAAAAAAAACTATTCTCTTTATTAGTTGCTGCTAACACGGCATGAAGAAAATCATAGCTTATGATTGAGTACGCATATCAAACCTATGAGCAATCTTCTAGAACATGGGTTTTCTGGATTTATGCTAGTAATGTGGCCTAATTTGAGCAGAGCTATTATGATATTATAAAGATAGTTAAGCTGTTTGGATAATAGGATTTTAAGATTAATATCTTTAAGCTTGTATATAACTAACTATAAGATACTAGGAATAAGAAGTGGATTCTAATACTTAATAATATTGATGATATTTATTTTCTTTTTAATTGTCTTAATAAAGTTCAGAGTCAAGCTAATTATAAAAATAATAGAATTGATTACTCACTACAAGAATATCTTCTATAAAGTATAAATAGATCTTTTCTAATAACTTTGCGGAGTAAAAAGACTGTATTAAAGCTAATAGAATAATGTGACATTATTATAATTGAATTAATAGATAAAGCGCACGTATTAGCCCTTTTTAAGAAGAAATTAAAAAAGTAGAATAAGAGTTAAGATATTACTAAGCTTACAGTAGCATTAGAATTTATTCTACTTATAATTGTTTAAACTGCAGTATATATTTCCAACCTAGATTGAGGTTGTTCAGTGCAACAGTATCTTAATAAGTTCTAGAAAAATGATTATAAAAAGATCTATCTATTAGACTATAAAGATGGTTAGTTTTGTTGAGATTGGGAGGTTAAGAACTCTGTTTTTGTTATTTGGTAGATCTCATTTGATAGTATATGCTAAATCTGATGATTAGTGGCTGGTTTATTGTCATTGATGAGCTTTTTTGATTATTAAGGGATTTCTGAGGCTTTTCTTTAAAATTGAAGTAGATAGGAAAATGTGGAGTAGAGTGATTGCGATGATGATGAAGGCAGTGAATTATAATCTAGTGTAATTGATGAGTTTTAAAATGATATTCTAGCGCTGTGAAGGTACTTGTTTATCTTGATAAATATGGATAGAATAGCTTTTGAAATGTATAATCTGGTGTAGCTAGTGATATGAAGATGGCTTAAAGCGAATGGAGAGCTGGAAAAGTGGAAACAGTAGTATATTTGGAATCTAAATTTGGAATTTTTTATAGGAGAATATGAGAATTGGGCAAAATGTTAAGAACTTTTTCTGTATGTGAAGTCTGCGGTCATGTAGTGACTGCAGGAATGTGATTCATTACTGGAGTGGGCCTCGCTGCTATATAAGGCGGCATGGTATGACTGGAGAAAAGGAAATGGAGCTGAGGGAGAGAAGCTGTTAGTTAAGATGATGAAAACTTGAATGAAGTTACTAGGTCTGGAATATGAATATATGTTGAATAGTATCTAAATAGTAGGATCAATATAGTTGCTTGAAGGTTGATGGAATGAGGCTGAAGAGTTGGAGGTGTAAGTGATGAAGATAAGAAAGAGGGTGCAGGGTGTAGAGCATCCGGACACACTGATCAATATAAATAATCTGGCATTGATATACTGGAAGTAAGGCTGATAAAAAGAGACTGAAGAGCTATTTATATAAGTGATAGAGATAAGTTTAAAGATACAGAGTGTAAAGCATCTCTTCATATTAATCAGTATGAATAACTTAGTATTGATATACTGAAATTAAGGCTGATAAAAAGAGGCTGAAGAGCTATTTATATAAGTGATAGAGATGAGAAAGAGGATGCTGAGTGTAGAGTATTTGGATACACTGATCAGTATAATTAACCTAACATCAACATACTAGAATTAAGGCTGATAGAAAGAGGCTAAAAAGCTATTTATATAAGTAATAGAGATAAGAAAGAAGATACTAGATAGAGAATATCTCTTTATGCTGATCAGTATAGCTAGTCTAGCATTAATATACTAGAATTAAGGCTGATAAAAAGAGGCTAAAGAGCTAAAGATACAAGTAATGAAGATAAGAAAGAGGATACAGAGTATAAAACATCTCTCTATACTGACTAGCATGAATAACTTGGTATCAATGTACTGAAATTAAGGTTAATAAAAAGAAGCTGAAGAGCTATTTATATAGATGATAAAGATAAATTTAAGGATGCTAGATGTAGAATATCTGAACACGCTGGACAGTATAGCCAACCTGGCATCGACGTACTGAAATCAAGGCTGATGGAAAGAGGCCGAAGAACTGTTTGTGCAAGTGATAGAGACAAGAAAAAGGGTGCTAGGTGGGGAGCATTCTTCCACACTGACCAGCATGGCCAACCTGGCGTCGTGTCACGCACCGGGACCCACTCTAGTTGTCACTGGCTGTGTCGAGGAGCGATACGATGTATTAAACCACACAGAGATTCCTTAAGGGTAACTAGTAACAAAGTATAAAGATTATTAAAGAATAAAGATAAAGGTAAGATATAACTAAAATAAGAGTAATACTTTAAAATGCTATAGTATTTCAAATAGAATTATCTTATTGATCCTTACAGTGTAACTGATAGTAATAATTAGGCTGTCATTTGGTTCGGTTCTGGTCCTGAGTTTCTGGACCAAACCCAAAAGTGGGTCGGTTCGGTTTAGTCCTTATTATTGGAATTAGAACTGAAAACTGAACAGTTCTAGCTCTTTAAACCAAAACTGAATCACGCTAAAGAAGAATTACTAATTATAGTTAAATTGGTCTGAATCTAATCCGGTTTTTATTTAGATAACTAAATTGTATAAAAGAATTTTTAATTATAGTTAGATTTTATTCTTAAAAATATATTAAAATCTCTCTAAATTTTAATGAATTAGATAGATAAATAATATAAAAATTAAAATTAATTATTTAAATTATAATTATCCATCTGATTATTAAGATAGGCTAAAAAATAGATAGATAATAATAAATATTATAGAATAGATATAGAAATATATATATATATTTTCTTGATAAATAGATTAGCCGTATAACATAATCTGAAAAATATAAATGAAAAGTAGAAAAGATATTATTGTTATTTAGATAATTCCTAGATTATAATCTAAATATTAAGAATTTATTATAATATTTATAAGAATATTTAAAACAAAGTCTTAATTCAAAAAAATAAGAATTTAACTTATAAAAAGCTGCTTTAGAAATGATTATCTAATCAATAAAAACTATAAAGAATTAGGGTTAATCCTAAATTATTAGTATTATTAATGATAATCTACTAGTATTCAGATATTTAGATAAAATTAAATTAAAAATCTAAACTGAATCAGACCCAAATAGGCCCTAAAAAACCATATAGTTCTGGACTTAGTGAACTGAATCACATCAGTTCACTGTATATAGGACTAGAACCGGACCATTCGGATTTCAGATCGGTTTTGGTTCGGTCCGAACCGAACCAAATGACAGCCTAGTAATAATTATAATGATTTATATTAAAGAATTATACTAAAATAAACTAGATATATAGAAATAAATATATTTATATAAATATTATCTTTATAATATTCCTATAATCTATTTATATATAGATTATATATCTAATTATTCTCTTATCTTTTTTATACTTTTTTTATATTTTTATTATATATCTGAGTATAGATATTTATATAATATATAATTCTATATAAATAGTAAATAAGCTATATATAATTATAATAACTAATTAACTATAATATTAATTACTTTAATAGATATTTATTCTAAAGTAGTCTAAATCATCTTAATCTATTCTTAGCTTTATATATATTAGTTTTATAATATCATTCTCTCTCTTTAAAGTTCTTTATTCTTAAAGATATAAATAGAAGATATATCCTTATTCCCAATATAATCCTATTTTCTTTAGTGAGTGTTTGAAATATATTAATATAACTTTTAAGAAGGACTGTCTAGCTTATTATATATTTCAGTCTAATTATATCTATTAAAATAATTTTTCTATTAATAATCTATATAAATATTATAAAAATAAAAATATGATTTATATAATAGATTTAAAAAGTCAAAATTATATATTATATACTTATTATAATTATAAATATAAAAAGTAATTTTATAATAAATAAGAATGATTAAATCTTTAGAAAATTAAAAATTATATTAATTAAAAATTTCATAATACTCTTATAAAATAGACAGATTTATTTATAAAAATAAATTATTTATTTAAATAATAATAATTTCTTAAAGAATAAGATTCAAAAATGTTAGATTATAATTCTAATATAATGAAGATTTTAGATAAAAAAGATCTCAATAATATCTCTTCTTTTTTTTTATAAAAAAGATATAATTAAATATTATCTTTAATATAAAATTTAAAGTCTTATTTACTAATCTATTAATATCTCTATTTAATAGATTAAATTTCTTTATCAGTAATCCTCTAATACCTTTAGAGTATCTATAAGATTTTTAATAGATTTTTAAATATTTTTTAAGATATCATATTCTTTCTATTTAATTAGATAGATGAATTTTCTATTAATTTATTTTTTTTAATATATCTTTGACTTCATATATTTCTTACTTAATAATGATATTTATTTAAAATTTTATATTTAATAGTATTAATTCTAATAATAAAATATAGAATATTAAATATATTTTTATAGTTTTTAATAATTTTAATTTATAATTAATTTCTCTAATTTTTTCTTTAATTTTAAATAATTTAATTTATAGATAATTTAATTTATAGATAATTTAATTTATTCTTTTTTCTTTTAGTATCTAAATTTTATAAAAAATAGATTTTCTTTTTCTTCTTAAGATTAAATCTTTTTTAATATTTTTAATTATATCTTCTTAATAACTATTATTCTTAATTTTTAATTTTATTATATAGATATTGATATAATACTCTTATTATATTAACTATCTCTTCTACTTTTTATATAATTGATTGCTTATATTTAGATTTCTTTAGCATTCTTATTTCTTTTTCTGTATATGTTTTAAATGATATTATTTCTATAATAATTTACTTGTTTATATTATAGGTTATTTATATTATAAATAATAATATTGCTTAATTATTTTAATTATAATTAATATAATAGTATAGATACTATTCTAATGTTTAATTTATTTATTCAGTTTATCTATTTATCTATAGATAATAGATAGTTAATAGCTGCTGTTCCTTTTTTATAAAATCTATTATAAATTTCTATAGTTTTAATATAAAGGTTTATCTTTTATCTAAGATCATAATTTCAGATATATTATAGTGCTAAAAGACTTTATTAATTAATAGTATTACTAATTGTTTTACTATTAATTATTTTATAATTATAATAAAATATATATATTTAATCATTCTATTTATTATTATAAGTATTAAATCATTTCCTTATAATTTTAATAGTTTAATAATAAAATCTATTATTACTTATTGCTATAAATATTCTAATATTTTTAATAATTGTATTAGTCTATATAATTTATATCTATTAATTTTATTCTTATAATACTGATCATATTTCTTAATATAATTCTTAATATTCTAAATTATTTTTGGTCAGTAGTAGTTCCTAGGCTGTCATTTGGTTCGGTTCTGGTCCTGAGTTTCTGGACCAAACCCAAAAGTGGGTCGGTTCGGTTTGGTCTTTAATATTGAAACTAGAACCAAAAATTAAATAATTCTAACTCTTTAAATTGAAATTAAACTACACTAAAAAAGAATTATTAATTATAGTTAGATTGGTTCGAGTTTAATCCAGTTTTTATTCAGATAATTAAATTATATTAAAGAATTTTTAACTATAGTTAGATTTTATTCTTAAAAATATATTAAAATCTTTTAAATTTTAGTAAATTTAATAGATAAATAATATAAAAATTAGAATTAATTATTTAAATTATAATTTTCTATCTAATTATTAAAATATATTCAAAAAATAGATAGATAATAATAAATATTAATTATATTATAAAATAGATATAGAAATATATATATTTTTTCTCTAATAGATAGATTAGCTATACAATATAATCTAAAAAATATAAATAAAAAATAGAAAAAATATTATCATTATTTAAATAATTCTTAGATTATAATCTAAATATTAAGAATTTATTATAATATTTATAAAAATATCTAAAATAAAATCTTAATTCAAAAAATAAGAATTTAATTCATAAAAAGCTGTTTCAGAAATAATTATATAATTAATAATAATTATAAAGAATTAGAATTAATTCTAAATATTTTAATATTATTAATAAAAATCCACTAGTATTTAGATATTCAGATAAAACCGAACTGAAAATCTAAACTGAACCAGACTCAAATAAGCTTTAAAAAACTATATGATCTTGGACTTGGTGAATCAAACCACATTGGTTCACTGTATATAGGACCAGAACCGGACCATTCGGGTTTCAGATCGGTTTTGGTTCGGTTCGGACCGAACCAAATGACAGCCTAGTAGTTCCTTATAATTTATTCTAAAATATTTAATATTTCTAGATATTTTATCAATATATTATTATAATAAAGTTAAATAATTTCTATTCTAAGTGCTTTTAATATATAGATTAAATTATATTAAAATATTAATTTTTTTTTTGTTATTATAATTCAGTCATTTTTATTATTTATTATATTAAATATTAATCTATCTTATTCAATTTTTTTTATAATTTTATCTTATAATTTTAAATCTATTACTTCTTTTAATATTACTGTGAGTATTACTATTTAAAGATTATATATAAGTATTTCTCTTTCTATTTTCTTAAATAAGACTAATTCTAATAATCTAATTTTTTCTTTATAATTTAGTCTTCTGCTTAAAGCATCTGCTTATTCATTATTTTTTCTTTATAATATTTTATTTTATATTAATAATTTATTAATAATTCTAATTATTTTATTTATTTTTAATTAAGAACCTTAATTATAAAGAAATAGATAAGATTTTTATAGTTTATAATAACTTATATTAGAAATTTAATTCCTTTTAAATAGACTTTTTAATGTTGAAATATTATTATTATAACTAGTAGTTCTTTATTATAAATCTTATAATTAAATTCTATATTGAGCATTTTTCTTGAATAGTATATTATTAATTATAGTTTTTTATTTAATTCTTTCTATATTATTGTTGTTCTTATTATAAAATCTAAAGTATCTATTTCTAATACTGTTAATTTTTCTAAATTATATTATATCAATATAGATATAATAATGAGCTGAAGTTTTATTTCTTTAAATGCTTTTTAATATTCTATTGTCTATTTAAATTCAAAGTTTTTTTATAATAATTTAAATATAGAATTTATTATCTCTATATATCCTTTTATATATTATTAATAGTAGTTAATTAATTTAAGAAAGAATTATATTTCTTTAATATTCTTTAGTATAG